CTGAACAAGAGGCCCAGGATTCCCGTCTTTCCTCTGAAACCCCCAACCACCACCTGGCCTTGGTGCCTCAAACTGTCGAAGGTAGCAGCCTCCTGTGTCCCAGACCACAATCTGCTTCCTACTCAGCTGTGAGTCTTTGATGGTACTGCAAGCAGTGGAAGGAACTGGAGAGAAAGGAGTGGAAACAGAGCCGCTGGGTGAAGCCCAGGTCCCTCACTTCCTCGCTGTGTAACGTTGGGCAGCTTCCTGGGCAGCTCCAGGCCAAGGCCTTTCCTTCACCATCTCTGACAGCTCTCAGGGTCAGCAAGGCCGGAGACTCCCGGAGTTGACATGCCCGGTGCTGTTTTGATTAGCCTTGTGGTTAGGTCACTGGCAGCGTGGGGAATGCTCTCCCAAGCTACCATCCTGTCCAGGGCATTACAGAGCCCTCACGATAGGGGCCCATCCAACCTCCTTTGAAGTAACATGGCGGCCCCCATGTCATCTCTGTGCTCCTAAGCCAAACAGTATTTGACCAATTGACACTGGACTGCTTGCTACCCACACACCCCACGTCCTTTCCTAGCTCCCTGTCTTTATGCAGGCTCTCTTTTCCGCCCCCTCATCCTTGAACTCCTCTGCTGGCAAAATTTAATTCATTTTTCAAGGTCAAACTTGAAGGTCTATGACAAACATTGCCTGCTCTTCTGTGCTCCCACCCACACTGGCCTGAGAGCTCCCTGAGACACGTGGCCACAGTGGTGGGCTGGAGAGCACAAGCTCTGGAGACAGAGTGGGGTTTACATTCTAGCCCTACCACTTGCTAGCAGCTGTGTGACCTTGGGAAAGGTGTTCAGCCACACTGTGCCTCGCCCCTAAGATGGGGATAAGAGTACCTACCTCCTCCGATTGCCATGGAGATGAGATAAAATATGTGAAGTGTTGAGAACTGAACCTGGCACATGCTGTTGTTACCTGCATGCCTGGTCCCTATAACACAGGGGCATGAATACTGGACTGAGGGCTATGGTGGCATTTTGTGAATGTGGATCCAGGGTTGGGGGTGGGGGAAGGTCCATCTGTGATCACTGAGCAAGTACAATGGAAGGATGCGAATATATAACTTTGGAAAATTTTAAACATACACAGACATAGAGAATCTATATATATAAAAGGCTAATATGCTAAGTGTCTGACCGTCCGACCAGTCACTATGATGTGCATTGATCACCACGGGGCAGGCTCTCAATGCAGGAGCTGACAAGCTGCGGTGACTTGGCAGCGGCAGTTCTCAGGTGACACACCCTGAAACCAGAGAGGAGGGAGCCTGATTCCTCGTGGGGCTGCACGATTCCACCTTTGGCCATGGGTTATGTTGTTGCTGGGGCACTGTTGGCCCTGAATCTGGTTTATTGCACACTTGCATTTGTGTTACACACCCTGTACGACAGCAACTTTGCAGAGTGCTTTCTTGCACTCCAGGACCCCTTGGGGGACATCGGACTGCTGGTTTTGGCCCGATCCTGCAGGCCAGGCCGAGGGACCTGCCGGAGATGCTCACTCTGCAGAAGCCCTTCCAGCAGCTGGCCTGGGAGGGACTGTAGGAGACTGGCTCCAGGGCGTATCTGGACTGTTTCGCCCAATCCCGCCCTGCCGGCCACCTTCTAATTAATTTCCTTTCAATGTGCACGCATCCATGCACTGGGTCACTAATAGTATATGAACACATGTAGCCACTGACTAGCATCAGCCATGTGGTCTCATTGTCCATCTTTTCCTGTTTCCTCTCCTTGCCCCCTCCTCAGTACACATACTGGATAATTTTAAAGCACATTGCAGATGTGAAGAAAGCAATTGTATGCTTTACACTCTTAAAAGAACTTTCAAAAAGAAAAACGTAACTATTTATTATCCTCATCATGGCTTGTGACCTCGATGAAAGCAGCAGCATTCTACAGAGGGAAAGGTTAGAGGCTGAGAGGTCCAGGGCTCCTGGGTGTGAGGCCAGGGCTCTTCCTAGGACATCTGGGAAAGCTGATGGGGCTCAAGCGGCTTCCTCGGAACGCTCCCCACCCCAAGTTCTAACTAGTTCTTAATCAATTTTGAGCAAGCTTGAGATATTCCATCCCCCAAATCAAATACAGTGGGGCCTTGACTTACAAGTGTCCCGACTAACGAGTTTTTCAAGATACAAGCCGTCTCTCGGCCGATTTTTTGCTTTGAGTTGCGAACTAAAATTCGGGTTACGAGCCAGCTTCAGATACCCTACTGCTAGTTGGCGCAGCAAACGTCACAGTGAACGCCACAACATCAGCCCAGCATCACGTGTTTCACTCGTTCACTATTGATTTGACATACGAGTAATTTGAGTTATGAGCTCCATCACAGAACGAATTAAACTCTTAAGTCAAGGCCCCACTGTAATAGCAGTCTTTTCCCAATTCAGAAAAAAAAAGTTAATGAATGGAATTCTCAATTGCAAGTTCTCCTCTCATATTTCCTTAAACTGCATAGTCTCTGCATCCATTTGTTGAAACCAAGTGCTGGTAGACCACAGAGAGTGTAAACAAACAGTGGAAAAGATGAATGGAAAACCCTAGAAACAGCTAACCAGGGTAATCTGTGGACACGCCTGCATGTGGTGATTTTGTACTGTGTAACACGTTCTGCTGGTAAAGGTCTCAGAGACCTGCCTCCTGCTGAGATGGTGAGCAGCCCCAGGCTTCCAGTCCTGTGAATGGAATGGCACGGTCTCCACGCCCCTCCACCTGGCGGGCTGGGGAGCAGCCATAGGCTGCATAGAGGGTGAGGTGGGGCAGAGCCAGGTGCACTGGGACCACCTACCAGGGACTCTGACGCTCTAGCTAAGCGCCAACGCACAGTGGGCAACAGAATGTACCAGGGAGGGAAGGAAATGCAGCAAGCAGGCTGGTTCTCTTCTGCGGTTGACACAGAAATGAATCTAACAGATTCTCATAAAAGAAATATCCCAGAATAATTTCTTATTGAGCATCAGGCCCAAGACAAATAACAAGGTTGGACATTCTTGAAGCACAGGTTTTCGTGGCTCCATCACTGTTGGTATCTGCGCTTCTGCTGACTGGCAGCTCACACATCCCAGAGTTAATACATCAGAACACACCCAATTGTGAAGAAAACACTCAGGCTGGGATCCTCCTCACTGTCTGCCATCTAAGCAGGAGCCGCTGTGCTGGCCCTCAGCAGTGGGTCTACTCTATGCTCTGGAACAGTTAGATCAGAAACCGGGAACCTGGCTCAGGGCCTAGGGGGTAAGGAAGGAATAGGGAAGTGGAAATTGACTGTAAAAGGCAATTAAGGGGGCTGCCAATCGAGTGTAAGTGGGAACCTAAAGGAGGCTTGCTCTTCTCTCTGAGACCGCCCAGCCAGGCCTGCCAGGGCGGCGCGTGCTGCCAACTCCTCGTCCCCCTCAGGGATGGGCACCCTGGTTCTCGGCTACGTACCAGCAGGACTGACCCCTTGGGGGCTGCTGGCCTCCCCCTGCTCTTCTCCCATCTGCAGCCACAGCTCACTTGAAGTATCAGACTGGATGAGACTCAAAGAAAGACACAGCACGTAATTTTTAAATAACTTTATAAGTTCCCGATGGATTTAGTTTGTGAATATAAAAGAAAAAAACCAAAGTGTTTACAATAATTATCAAGGCAAAGTTGACTATAACACAATTTCTCTGTAGTGTCGTTATCCTGTCAGTAATGCGACTGGCCACCACACACGCACACACACACACACACACACACACACACACTTGAAGGCAGCAGGTGCATTTGCATCACAGACACCACCATTGCGGCTGCTACTGTCACCAAAAGGAACTCAAGCTACAAGGAAACAGTGCCCAGCGCCCCTCCTCCTCCCTAAAGTGCAGCACTTCTCTTCTGGAGCAGAGGGTGCATGTCCCAGGGAGACCCCAGTCCCCATCCTGGACACCCTGCTGTGAGGGCAAGCTCAGGGCTGGTCCTGCGCAGCCATCAGGCCAGAGGGCGGCGTGCTGCCCTCGGGTGGGCCTGGCTGCCTTAGAGGGTGATGCAATACTGGTGTGGTGTGAAACGGCTGGGCTCAGAGGGCTTGCTCTGGCCCAGGGCTGGATTCCCTGGCTTCAGCAGGCTTCACTTCCTTCCCTGACAATGGCATCTCAGAGGGGGCGGGGGAGGGCCACAAGAGGTGGCCTGGTCCCAGGAGATCTGGGACTAAAAATCTTAAAGGGAAAGAATCTAGGACTGAAGCCAGAAGGAACTGAGATCTGAGTATAACGCATTCACCGGACTGCAGGCTCTGGGCTGGCCAGTGCTTGGTCCATATTGGATGGTCACTGGATGATATAGCACCAAGTGGGCAGGAGAGAGGTTCTGTGGCCTGTACAGGGCTGCTACCAGGTGTGGGGCTTCAGAGTCAAGCCCAGGCTGCCACATAGTGTTAGGCACACTGAGCTGGGACCGACGTGGGGGTGAGGGTGGTTATGGGGTCACAAACTACCCAGAGGACCTGAGGATGTGTAGGAAAGCGCTGGCACGACTGGAGCTCTGAGACCCAGATTCCCATTCGTTTCCCTCAGCAGTTGTCGTTCAGCCACGCAGTCACCTGCTTGGAGTGTGGTCCTTGAACTTCCCAAGCGGCCAGCCCAGCTGCCACCTAAGGCAGCTTAGGAGGAAGGGCGGAGTCTGGCTGCCCCATAGCTTGAATTCCTTTTACATGATATTGATTTGCATTTTTTAAAAACACAGCTCTTTAATTTTTCAGTTCTACAACTACTTTTTAATATCTTAATAATCTCAACAATGGACACAATGTAACTGCCCAAATTCTCTGAACCACACAGACAATATTGACAAGCAGAGAAACAAAGGAGGAGGTGGGATGTGACAAAAACCTGCTCCCCACAAAACCGGTCCTAAAACCACCTCTCCTCCCAGAGTCAGAGGAGCAATACCTACATTGGGGTCACAGTACTCACTAAACACATTGGGGGAAATCAGGAGACACTTGGTTACAGTTTGACACTAAAAAGTTTGGAAACAGTTTTTGCTTAAAAAGAGTAAAGACAGCCATTTTGTTCAGAAGGATTTCCTTGTATGTTTTTTTTCTTGCCCAAGTATTCCCTTAGTTCACATGGAGGAAATGGCAGATTCCTTTAAAACATTTCTTTAAATGGTTGAAGTCACTCTCCTGAGAGCCCAGGGACTGGCAGTGATGGGTGGATGCGTGGCCTTGCAGGCATTGCAAAGGGCAGCGTGCTGCCTGCATCTACTCCCTTCTCATCTCCTTTCCACAGTTCTGAACGTTTGCAGATGGGGAGGTGAGGCTGGGGAGGCAGACATGAGAGTTACGGATATTGCTGATACAGGCCCATGGAAACTTAGCAGATGTCATGTGAGGGTCACATTCTATGTGGTGACATACTCCTCCATTTGCTCTTTCCTTAAAGACCCTGAGGGTAGCCAGCGGGCCTATGCTTAATGGGGTCAAACAGAAGGGAAGGAGCGCTCTGGTATCAGCAGGACTCTCTAGCAGCAAATCCAAATGCCAATCCTGACCATCAACAAGGGAGGGGTTGGTTTAGCAGTAGACTAAAACTCTGTGATGGCTTCCTCTTCCTTTTCTCCTCACTCCGAGGAGTGAGTGAGCCAATGAGCTCCTCATGGAAAACCAAACAGACTTCCATTCACAAAAGTGCCAGGTCACACTGCCACTAGTGACACTGAAGATGGCCTTGGGTCCAGTATGCCTTATTAGTATTTTTAAAGCCCAAGGGTAAGAAAGAGAGAAAGGAACTTAGATCTTCTTTAGATTGTAACATACAAGGTCAAAGGTTAGAATGGAGATGGATTTCAGGATTCCCATGCATATTTCTTAATATGTTAAAGCCCACTTAAAGTATTTTCTATTTCAAATGGTATCCAAAGTCCTTGTAAAATCTCAATTCAATACTTCATCAAGGACTCAATGAGTACCTGGGATAGAGGGATATGAAAAGATGAAAAGTCACATTTTCTTTCTTTAGTCATGCACTCCAGGTTGGGTCCCACCTACTCTTCTTCTTATCCCCTTTGTGATGATCTTAATTTGGGGGTACAAATATTTAGGTGTTAAGGGGCAACTAGGCTTGCCAATGGAATGGATGAGTTTGGTGAACATTATAGGCAACCTTCAGTGAGTTTTCAAGGCTACATACTAATATTTGGTAGTAGCTCAGTGACCTTGTGAAACCTTGAATATCATAAAAAGGTCACAAAATGATAGTCCTTGTGTGATGGGAATTGTGCATTTAGTAAATGCTGGCTCGATGAATGATTTAAACTCAGTAAGATACTCTAAACACTAGATAGAAACTATATAGACTCTGCACCTATAATGTAAATGCACGTCATGTTCACCAATGAACTTTAGCCAGAGCCTAATTCATCTAGGACCAAAAAGTCCTCAGAACCATTGAGATACTAGGAAGAATGAATGAGACTCCCTGCTTTGGTTCATAGAGACCAGACAGATGCTGTCTGCCCCAGAAATTTTTCTTCTCAGAAGCACTTGTCTAGAGGACTTCCGTAAGGTTTTAGAGGGAGAGCAACAGGAAGGGGTGAAATGAAAAGAGGAAGGACGAAGGTGCAGTGAAAGTCATGAAACACGCAGGCAAGAGTGGCAGGTATCGCATTTGGTGGTAAAGCCCAAATCAGTGGGACCCAGAGAGAGACCTGGCTGATGCCTTCTCTTGCCAGATCAGCTAGGCCACAGCCAGCCAGCGCCAGGCCAGGCCACTTCCCTGGGCATGGCCTCTTCTGCTTCCTGTTCTGCTGTAGTCCTGCGAAGGCTGTCATCTTACCTCAGTTCTTTCCTTATGGCATTTAAAGTGAGATTCTAATACTCCCCCCTAAAATACTAGGGGCTATCTACATGATTTATGGGCAGTGCAATAAATAAATGAAACTGAGGTAATTGACCACAAATGACTACCACTTTATATCTAACCCCTGTGCCGCCGCTCCGGCCAGCCTGGCTATCAGGAAGCATCTCAGTAAGAAGTTTATGAGCAGAGTCCATTTAAACCTTTGATAAGGAACACTCTACAGCGTCTCACAGGTGGGACTGTTTTACAGCAGGAGTCAGGGCAGCTGGAGATTCGACCATATAAGTTAATGAGACAGTCAAGGCTTGCTGGTGGGGAAGATACTGCACTGATGGCCGTGATGACTTTACAGGCAGCATCAGATTCTTTGGGTGAGAAATTGGGAAAGGGCAAAGGAGAAAATGCAGGACAAAGCCATTTAGCCCAGCAACTCTTATCAGAAGATGTGAGTGTCTGGTGGGTGTCTGGTCACAGAGGTGGTCAAAGGCCTAGATTTTGGTTAAGTGGTCTATTCTTGGTGCCTGATTTTGTTTATGACTGTCATTGTCTATGCATGGGGAAAATGCTTTTCAAAATGCCAGTATCTTCAGGTGGATTTGCAACTTTGGGGTCAATTTTCTCATTTGTGACATGGAGCTGGCCAAGCTCCACGAGGTGCACGGAGATGTACTGAGAAAACACCACCTACTCTCACAGGCCCCCGAACAGTATGCTTGTTCAGGGTAACAACAAGCAAAAGTCCTGAATCACCAAATGGCAACTAAGTGACTCAGCCCCAGCCCCCAAATCCATCAATTCTATTATAGTGAGAAGTGAGAAATGCTGACTTAGGAAAGATTTTCTGGAAAAGATACCTTCTATTAAGATGGGGGAGAGGAAGAGTATGCCTTTTGCTGCTTTGACTCAAGCTGGTATGTCTCATAGAATCCTTTATACCTCTCCTCCATTTTTCCCACAAGGATGACTGCCTAACAGTAGGCATTTCATAAATATTCTTTGAATGAAAGAATGGAGGAAGGAATGTGTGTGGGATGAGAACATTCATTTGTGTCAAAGGAGGTTTCAGGCAATGCATGAAGCTAAGGTTCTAGGAGTGCAAATCAAGAGTTAAGCTACAAGGGTGGAAGGTGGGTCAGAGAGTTCAGTGACCACTGGGCTTGGAGCATGGTGGGGAAGGCAGAAGCATTCTTCTGGGGCTCAGGGGCCTGATGAAGGAGATGTTCAGGAGAAACAGCCTGACCCTGGCAATGGCCATCTCCAGAAGCAGAGCTGGTGATGACAGCGCCTCACGTCAAACCCCTCTTCTCTTTCCATCAGAGATATATGATCTGACTAAGCAAAAGGCCAAAGGTCTTACACAAGAGGACTAGGGGGAGAACTGCTTGCACCACCCTGTCGTTAACTGGTCGAGGACAAGAGCACGCATATGCGAGACAGGGCCGGGTGTTCGTGTACACTGAGCCATGAGGAGGCCTGCTTGTGGCTCCCCCGCATAAAACACTGCAGATGAAAGTAAACAAGAGACAGTGTAAGAAGAGTCAGTTTTCTGTTTGTCCCTCTTTAACCCTCCTCTTTTTCTAATAATATCTTTTTGAGATTTTTAAAAAATCCTTTTAGGAGAAAGCACCTGTTGTGATTTTAGGACACTCAGCTCTCTTGTCCATGGGGAAGCATTCTCTCAGTATGCTGAACTCCAAGTAGATTCCAGGTTTAGTTCCCATGTCAAGGACAGAAGAAAGAGGCTCCTTACTGCATGACCCTCTGTGAGGGCAGAGCCACCAGCTTCCAGAGTTCTCCACTATTGATGACCAGATCGTGGTTCTTCATGGAGACTTGGCCACTTACCCACCTTGGACATAAAAAAATAAGTATAGAGACAACATCCAATTGAGGCCAGCAGAGTAAGGTGACAGATGTAGAAGTGGAGCTGGAATCGCACTTGAAGAACTAACCAGGGTAGGATGGAGTTCGTAGTGTTTGCAGGGCGCCAAGAAGTATCTGGGTGCCTGTCCTCATAGTTCGCTTTTCTTGGCTCCTGGGTTCACTGCACTGGGCTGCTGGCTGGCCACTCCCCATGAAGCAGGGTCAGGATGATTCTTCCAATGCGTTGACCACTTGCTCCAGGATGTCGGGGCAGTGGTCTGCGATCTGCTGGAGAATGGTGTTGGCAAACTCCTGCAGTTCTGCAGTGTCCCGCTCACCTTTTTCTAATTCACTCTGAAGCTGAGAGGGAAAGAAAAGATGGACTTCAGATTAAAAGAAAACAATCCTATTTGCACTGAGTTAAGAATTATTGTTTATCAATAAAGAAATGATATTTGCAACTACATGGAGGAACCTGGAAGGCATTACGCTAAGTGAAATAAGCCAGATAGAGAAAGACAAAGACTGCATGGTATCACTTATATGTGAAATCTGGAAAAAAGAGTTGAACTCATAAAATCAGAGAGTAAAAATGGTAGTTGCCAGGGGGGTGGGGAATGGGGGCAACAAGGTTGTTAAAAGGGTATAGACCAGCTGTGGGCAAACTATGGCCCGCGGGCTGGATCCGGCCCGTTTGAAATGAATAAAACTAAAAAAAAAAAAAAAGACCGTACCCTTTTATGTAATGATGTTTACTTTGAATTTATATTAGTTCACACAAACACTCCATCCATGCTTTTGTTCCGGCCCTCTGGTCCAGTTTAAGAACCCATTGTGGCCCTCGAGTCAAAAAGTTTGCCCACCCCTGGTATAGACTTTCAGATATAAGATGAATACGGTCTGAGGATCTAAGATTAAACATGGTGACAATAGTTGATTACATTGTACTAAATAATTGAAATTTGCTAAGAGAGTATAACCGAAGTATTCTTATAAAGACAAAAAAAGTAACTATGTGAGATGATGAATGTGTTAACTCGATTGTGGAAATCCTTTCATGATGTATAAGCATATCAAATTATCACACTTTATGAAACCAACAGCTGGTTCTTTGAAAGGATAAACAAGATTGATGAACCTCTAGCCAGGCTCACCAAGAAGCAAAGAGAAAGGACCCAAATAAACAAAATCAGAAATGATAGAGGTGAAATAACAACAGACCCCACAGAAATACAAATGATTGTTTAAAAAAAATACTATAAACAACTCTACTCCAACAAACTAGACAACCTGGAGGAAATGGACATATTCCTAGAAAAATACAACCTTCCAAAACTTAATCAGGAAGAATCTAAAAATCTCAACAGGCCAATAACTATGGAGGAAATTGAAGCAGTTATCAAAAAGCTTCCAGCAAACAAAAACCCGGGGCCAGATGGCTTCACAGGGGAGTTTTACCAAACATTCAAGGAAGACCTAAAACCTATCCTCCTCAGACTATGTCAAAAGATCCAAGAGGAAGGAACACTCCCCAGCTCATTCTATGAAGCCAACATCACCCTAATCCCAAAACCAGATAAAGACAATACAATGAAAGAGAATTATAGGCCAT